ATATTTTGAGGAACTTTTAAATGTTGAGGAAGAAAGGGAGGCGGTAATTTCATGCACTGGCCAGGGAGGTATGCCATCTTTTAGGAGTGAAGAAGAGCAGAATGTAAGTGTGGGGGAGGTACGTGAGGCATTACGTAGAATGAAAGGGGCTAAAGCAGCTGGAACTGATGGGATCATGACAGAAATGTTAAAAGCAAGGGAGGATATAGTGTTGGAGTGGTTGGTACTTTTGTTTAATAAATTTATGAAAGAGGGGAAGGTACCTAGGGATTGGCAGAGAGCATGTATAGTCCCTTTATATAAAGGGAAGGGGGACAAAAGAGATTGTAAAAATTATAGAGGAATAAGTTTATTGAGTATACCAGGAAAAGTGTATGGTAGGGTTATTATTGAAAGAATTAGAGGTAAGACAGAATGTAGGATTGCAGATGAGCAAGGAGGTTTCAGAGTGGGTAGGGGATGTGTAGATCAAGTGTTTACATTGAAGCATATATGTGAACAGTATTTAGATAAAGGTAGGGAAGTTTTTATTACATTTATGGATTTAGAAAAGGCATATTATAGAGTGGATAGGGGAGCAATGTGGCAGATGTTGCAAGTATATGGAATAGGTGGTAAGTTACTAAATGCTGTAAAGAGTTTTTATGAGGATAGTGAGGCTCAGGTTAGGGTGTGTAGAAGAGAGGGAGACTACTTCCCGGTAAAAGTAGGTCTTAGACAGGGATGTGTAATGTCACCATGGTTGTTTAATATATTTATAGATGGGGTTGTAAAAGAAGTAAATGCTAGGGTGTTCGGGAGAGGGGTGGGATTAAATTATGGGGAATCAAATACAAAATGGGAATTGACACAGTTACTTTTTGCTGATGATACTGTGCTTATGGGAGATTCTAAAGAAAAATTGCAAAGGTTAATGGATGAGTTTGGGAGTGTGTGTAAAGGTAGAAAGTTGAAAGTGAACATAGAAAAGAGTAAGGTGATGAGGGTATCAAATGATTTAGATAAAGAAAAATTGGATATCAAATTGGGGAGGAGGAGTATGGAAGAAGTGAATGTTTTCAGATAATTGGGAGTTGACGTGTCGGCAGATGGATTTATGAAGGATGAGGTTAACCCTTTCAGGGTCCAAGGCCCAAATCTGGAGTCACGCACCAGTGTCCAAGAATTTTCAAAAAAAAAAAATTTATTATTTTTTCTTATGAAATCGTAGAGAATCTTTTTGTGAAGGTAATAAAACAAAAAGTACGAAATTTGGTGGAAAATTGACGAAATTATGCCCTCGCGAATTTTGATGTGTCAGCGATATTTACGAATCGGCGATTTTGCCGACTTTGACTCCGATTTTAGGCCAATTACATTATTCCAATCAACCAAATTCTTAGCTATTTCACTAGTATTACTTCTATTCTATCGATTGAGCACAAGAAATCGCCAAGTCAACTGTTTCAACTACAAAATAAAGTGATCAGAAATTGTTAATTTGGCCAATTTAACACAAAGTTCAAAATATTCCAATTTCAAAATAGGGTCCAGAATGAACAATGTAGGCATTCCTGGCACTAAACTAACATTTCCTCTGTTCATTAGTTATGTTTTGAGGCTTTACAAATAAATTCCATTTTGATTTTTTATTCACATAATGAATTTTTATTCACACCAAAAAATAGAAGATTTACTGTTATGCAATACTGTAATAATTGTATAAATATCATCACCATATTTGTGAATGTATATTAGACCCACCAGCTGACGTGTATTAGACGTGTGAGGTCGTTTGTTTACTCCTGAATATCGGCAAAAATTTAACATTTCCGCTACTTTGAGCTCAGTTTCAAGCCATTTCCAATGCTAAAACCAATCAAAATCATCTCTATTTCTGTAATATGCCTTCCATTCTATCAAATGAGACCAAGAAATCGCAAATACAACTATAAAAAACATACGAAAAAACACTGCAAAGTTGCTGTTTTAACCCTTTCAGGGTCCAAGGCCCAAATCTGGAGTCACGCACCAGTGTCCAAGAATTTAAAAAAAAAAAATTTGTTATTTTTTCTTATGAAATCATAGAGAATCTTTTTGTGAAGGTAATAAAACAAAAAGTACGAAATTTTGTGGAAAATTGACGAAACTATGCTCTCGCGAATTTTGATGTGTCAGCGACATTTACGAATCGGCGATTTTGCCGACTTTGACTCCCATTTTAGGCCAATTACATTATTCCAATCAACCAAATTCTTAGCTATTTCACTAGTATTACTTCTATTCTATCGATTGAGCACAAGAAATCGCCAAGTCAACTGTTTCAACTACAAAATAAAGTGATTGGAAATTGTTAATTTGGCCAATTTAACACAAAGTTTAAAATATTCCAATTTCAAAATAGGGCCCAGAATGAACAATGTAGGCATTCCTGGCACTAAACTAACATTTCCTCTGTTCATTAGTTATGTTTTGAGGCTTTACAAATAAATTCCATTTTTATTTTTTATTCACATAATGAATTTTTATTCACACCAAAAAATAGAAGATTTACTGTTATGCAATACTGTAATAATTGTATAAATATCATCACCATATTTGTGAATGTATATTAGACCCACCAGCTGACGTGTATTAGACGTGTGAGGTCGTTTGTTTACTCTTGAATATCGGCAAAAATTTAACATTTCTGCTACTTTGAGCTCAGTTTCAAGCCATTTCCAGTGCTAAAACCAATCAAAATCATCTCTATTTCTGTAATATGTCTTCCATTCTATCAAATGAGACCAAGAAATCGCAAATACAACTATAAAAAAACATACGAAAAAACACTGCAAAGTTGCTGTTTTAATCGAAAAAATCATGATTTCATTTTTTTCTCTAAATTATACACAGTGTGCTGCAGGATCTGTTTTATGTGGTGCACACATACCACATAGATGTATTTCTCTCATATCTAGGCCCAAATGTACCACTCACAGTTTATCAGAGTGAGCTGAGCTCATGGCGTAGATCTACGGTTTGGACCCTGAACGTAAAGCCGTAGATCTACGGGACGGACCCTGAAAGGGTTAATCGAAAAATCATGATTTCATTTTTTTTCTCTCATTATACACAGTGTGCTGCAGGATCTGTTTTATGTGGTGCACACATACCACATAGATGTATTCTCTCATATCTAGGCCCAAATGTACCACTCACAGTTTATCAGAGTGAGCTGAGCTCATGGCGTAGATCTACGGTTTGGACCCTGAACGTAAAGCCGTAGATCTACGGGACGGACCCTGAAAGGGTTAATCATAGAATTGATGAAGGAAAAAAGGTGAGTGGTGTGTTGAGGTATATGTGGAGTCAAAAAACATTATCTATGGAGGCAAAGAAGGGAATGTATGAAAGTATAGTAGTACCAACACTCTTATATGGGTGTGAAGCTTGGGTTGTGAATGCAGCAGCGAGGAGGCGGTTGGAGGCAGTGGAGATGTCCTGTCTAAGAGCAATGTGTGGTGTAAATATTATGCAGAAAATTCGGTTTGTGGAAATTATGAGAAGGTGTGGAGTTAATAAAATTATTAGTCAGAGGGCTGAAGAGGGGTTGTTGAAGTGGTTTGGTCATTTAGAGAGAATGGATCAAAGCAGAATGACACGGAGAGCATTTAAATCTTTAGGAGAAGGAAGGCAGGGTAGGGGTCATCCTCGAAAAGGTTGGAAGGAAGGGGTAAGGGAGGTTTTGTGGGCGAGGGGCTTGGACTTCCAGCAGGCGTGCATGAGCGTGTTCGATAGGAGTGAATGGAGACGAATAGTATTTGGGATCTGACGATCTGTTGGAGTGTGAGCAGGGTAATATTTAGTGAAGGGATTCAGGGAAACCGGTTATTTTTATATAGCCGGACTTGAGTCCTGGAAATGGGAAGTACAATGCCTGCACTCTAAAGGAGGGGTTTTGGGATATTAGCAGTTTGGAGGGATATGTTGTGTATCTTTATACGTATAGGCTTCTAAACTGTTGTGTTTTGAGCACCTCTGCAAAAACAGTGATTATGTGTGAGTGAGGTGAAAGTGTTGAATGATGAAAGTATTTTCTTTTTGGGGATTTTCTTTCTTTTTGGGTCACCCTGCCTCGGTGGGAGACGGCCGACTTGTTGAGAGAGAGAGAAAAAAAAAAGAAAAAAAAAAAAAAAAAAAAAAAAAAAAAAAAAAACATGGAGTTGGATGGACAGTCTTGTCTGTTCAGTGCTTTTCAAAGAAAACATAATGAAACTTTTAAATGAGAAAAAAATCATCCTTACAAACTCTCAAAAGTCTGGCCAAGACTGGTTTTTAGTAATTTTGTCTTCCTGCTTCTGTTCACTATCTCAGTAGGTATATAGAAATATATATTTATAGATACCAGTAATAGCCCCGTTAACCTAAGCAGCTTAAGTAATGACTCACTATAGTAGGGAAGTAAAAGGGATCCACTTTTCATCACTGAAGGGTCATTTATATGAAGTACCATTTCATTATCTTTTTTTCTTTAACCTCCACATTGCCATGTCAATAAATAGTTTTTCTTTCTTTGTTTTCTCATTTTTTCTACCTATGTCTACCTTTCTCATATTTCTTCTCTTCTACTTTATTTGTATATACCTACTGATAGCAAATTATTATTATAATCAAAACTAAGCACTAAACCACTGGGGTCTGATAGCAAATCTCACTTTTTTTTCACATATTCTGGTTTATTAGTGCAATCACATAGTAGTTAGTTCACTGTGGTGGTGGCATTTCATCTGCCAGGAAATAAGAAAGCTACTGTTAGCTTACTGGTGCTATACACCTGAGGTTAAGCATTTGCTGGTTTACCAGATAGGATTACAACCTCATTTAAGAAACAGGTAGAATACTCTAGCAACTATTTTAAGAAGACTGGGCATATAAAAGAGAGAAGCTTACGACGACGTTTCGGTCCGACTTGGACCATTGACAGTCACTTTGTCAATGGTCCAAGTCGGACCGAAACGTCGTCGTAAGCTTCTCTCTTTCATGTGCGGGTTATTTGTGTATTGTTCCAGTCACGGTATTGTGCCTTTTTTGTTATTTAAGACTGGGCACTTTATTTACAAGGAGAAATAGCAAAATTTCTCCTGACTTAGGTTTTAGAATTATTAATGACCCACTCAGTGAAAGTTTTGGTAATTTGATAGAGGCCTGCCACTATCTTACTTATCCACCCCACATTTAACAACTGAAAGCATGCAAAATATCTGAATTAGTTATTACACATGGCCACTTACTGAAGGCTGTAAAGATTCAGAGGGTCAAATTGCATCAAATACATAAATATACTTAAATCACTTAACCCCTTCTCCTGTATATATTACTAAATGTAAAAGGAGAAACTTTAGCTTTTCCTTTTGGGCCACCCCGCATCGGTGGGATATGGCCGGTGTGTTGAAAGAAGACTTAAATCACTAGATGAAGCTCTGCAAAGTCTTGAATGGTGGCACAATAACTAGGAAGAAGCATATTTTGAACAGCATACAATACAAAAAATGAAAGAATTAGTAAAATATAAATGCTATGCTGTGGGAAAAACATGCATAAAAAACCATACCCCGGCCGGGATTGAACCCGTGGTCATAGTCTCTCAAAACTCCAGCCCGTCAGCTCGTGTCATTACGATTTCGCGAGTCAAAAACATGCATGTCGTAAGAGGCGCCTAACATGCCGGGAGCAAGGGGATAGTAACCCCTTTTCCTGTATACATTACTGAAGTTAAAAAGAGAGACTTTCCTGTTTCTTTTTGGGCGACCCTGCCAGTGCGTTGAAAGAAAGATTGTGGGAAAAAGATATAAACAAAATTTTTGATGAAAATCTTGCAATTGTTGGTCTATCCAGCACATGGAAAAAAATTAATTAAACATCAGAATGTGAAAGAAGCACGAGCTTAAATATGCACTTGTTAACCTTCACTGTATTTAAATTTGTGTACTATAAAATAAATTAAAAAACTGTATTACAAAGTCCATGAGTATATACTGTAAAGAAGTAGATACAAGTATCAATAGCTTAGAAACTACACAAGTTTATAGGCCACAAATTTTTGTAGAAAGTAAAAAGTCTCACTTGTTGACTATTATCAGTAAATGCATAAAATCCTAGACCATGGAAGTTTATATTACAGTTATGTATAACTAAACATAATATTTATAAACTTTTATTAGTTACCATAATTATTTAAGTAAAATTTAACAACACAATAAACAAATTTGCACTTAAAACACCATATAACTATTATACGAGATAATAAACATCATTTGAACTCAATGTCAGGTAAAGAATCACAGCAAAATGGTGGCACAGCTATAGTGCTTGGTTGTTAGGATACAGTCCGAGTGAAGCAAATTTTGTTGCTCAAACCTGTCATTAGAAAACAATTTTAGTTTCAATAATCACCGGGACAATATTAATGTCAATATGGGCTAATCTCAGCTTTCTGTCAACCCTACATAAAAACACAATAACACATTCCATAGAAAAACAACTCGCATACTGTATACAATGTAAATGTAAGAGGAAAACTTAGTTCTTGTACATGTACTTGAAGGAAGCAAGAAACTTGACATATTTGTGTCTACAATACATTAAGTATTAAATTTATGATATGATCTGGGTTTTTCAGTATCTTCTAACAACCTGCATAACTGTCCGCTGTACTGAATGAATCAGGAGAAAAGTGGGCTAGCGTCAAGGCTGAGGGAACAAGGTAATCATCAGAGTTCACAACAAACCTACAATTTGATAATGGTCCAGGATGGGCCAGAATGTCATTTTAAGTTTACTTCATACTGTGGGTTAGTTGTGAACTTAATAATTAAGTCATGGTATTGTGACTTTCATTCTTCATCAGAGACTTGTTTCTCAACTAATTTTTGTGACCTGGTAATAGACTTCATAAAAGACAATGTAGTCAAGAACATCAAAATGATGTACCTAACCTTGTACCATTCTGAACCAATGTAAAATAAAAGGTACCAAAATGAAAGAGGAATTTGATGGGTATCTGTAAAGAATGTCAACTGCCCTTGACTCTAGTACAGACTTCATCTCTATTACTGAATCTTCACTAGCATATTATGAATTTTTGTACTCTTTGGGTCTACATCCACTGACTGAATATAATGAAAATCTTGGTTATTTACATCTAATACTGAAACTTAATCCAATTGTAATATTGTACATTTTAATACAAAACAAATTAATAACAAAATCAGATATATATGATTTGACACTTCATGAAATGGATACTCAGTTTTTTAATGATAATTTCTAAAAAATTTATTCTTGCATTTTCTGTTTCTTGGTAAGTTCCCTGAAAAAATGACAAGAAATACTGAAACAATAAGTTGCCATTCCCTTGTACAATCTTCAGGAATTATCTGTGACTTTTTAGTTTTAATTAATTTACTGTACAGATTCATGAACATTTTACTCATACTGTTTTACATTATTAATATCATTTGAGTCATAGTCTTACAACCCTAATTTCTTGAAAGTATCATTAGATTCCTTGACTGGTCATCATCTGAAGCTTCTTCAGGTGTCTTAAAGCTCTTTTTGCTGCTGTTGACTTTGCTATACGATAATTGCGACCAACGCCAGAGAATGAACCCTTTCCAAATATTTCCACCGAAACCCTGACCTTACCATCAACCAGGCGTTCAGGCTTGCCAAACTTAGCTGTCTCTGGTTCCATTTCCAAAAGTTCACGAATTGGCGATTTAGGCACTACACCACTGAACTGTTCAATCTCTCGGCACATCATGGTATAGTATACAGACCAGACAGCATCCAAGGAACCGCCCGAGTCCAAGAAAATTGCTCCAGCTACACTTTCAAATACATCCCCCAGAGCTTTGGGAACTTCAATATCTTCTGCTGCCTCACATTCATCTTCCTCCATGAAGTAATACTGAAAAAATGGATACATAACCAATACAATTATCACTGCTGTTGTTAATAAAGAAAACACAAAAAAAGTTAATTTATAAGAGTTTCTATTGAACAGCACTATATTAGACCCATAAGTTAAAGTTGGAAGAGAGAGATGGAGGGAGGGGAGACAGGTAGAAATTATAGACAGGAGTTAATATATTTTATATATATATAAATATATATTAAAATATATTATATAAATATATTTATAATAATATAAAAAATATATATATAAATTTTTATAATAAAATATAATTTAAAAATATATATAAAAATATAAATAATAAATATATAATAAATATATATATATATAATATAATATATATTAATATATATATATATATATATATATAAAACCACCACACACCCCTCTCCACACACACTCTCTCTCTCTCACACACACACCCACACACTCTCTCTCTCTCACACTCTCTCTCTCACACCCCTCTCTCTCTCTCACCTCTCTCTCTCTCTCTCACACCTCTCTCTCTCTCTCACACTCTCTCTCCTTTTCTCTCTCACCACTCTCTCCTCTCTCTCACACTCTCTCACTCTCACACTTCTCTCAACTCTCACATCCTCTCTCACTCTCACACTCTCTCTCTCACCCTCACATCTCTCTCACACTCTCCTCTCTCCACTCTCCTCTCTCTCTCTCTCTCTCTCTCTCACACTCTCCTCTCTCACACCCCCACTCTCTACACTCACACTTCTCACACTCCACACTCTCTCACACTACACTCCTCTCCCCTCTCATCTCTCACTCTCTCTCCTCCTCACTCTCAACCCCCCTCACTCTCTCACTCTCACACTCTCTCTCTCACTCTCACACTCTCCTTCACTCTCACCCTCCTCTCTCTCACACCTCTCCTCTCTCACACTCCCCTCTCTCTCAACTCTCTCCCCTCTCACACTCTCCTCCTCACACTCTCTCCATCCTCTCTCCTCTCAGATATAGAAACTTTGCATTATAGTTAAAAAAAAAAAAAAAAAATTTCATTCATGTTATACTAATGGAACTTTTTGAAATGCAAAAAAAAAAAAAAAAATGTACAAATATATGTTAGCATAGCATTCTGAGGAAAGAGTACAAATTTAAAATATGCATAAATCTTATCATTGGCATACTTATTTTTTAAATTACAAACATTACAAAATAACTATTCAATACAGAATCAGCTTACTTCTTCGTTGATTTTATGGCCATTCTCTTCTTGCATCTTGACAAAGTCTCTCACTACTCGGTCCAAACCCGGTGAAAAGTGGCGGAAGTACTTGTGAAAGTCATATTTGACTGCCAAAGATGCAAATATTGTGTTATTAACCAAGGCTGAGCGCAGGTCTGTGAGAGCCCCTGGAGAATGCTGTCTCTTATCCTCATACAAGTGACGAGTTATCAGATAGTCTGTAACCAATATATTCATAGCATGAACATAATAGAAGTGTGTGTTCTAATCCACAGTATGCACATGCAATAATAAAAAATTAAAAATTGCAAGAAAAAATGGGAAAAAACTCAAATGCAGTATTTTAGTACACAGCATGCGTTAGTTCCACACGTTGTCGTCATGGTGTTAACACCCTTCAAATTCATGCCTTCCCATCTCAGTAAGTATTGAAGGGATTTATTTTTGTTTTATAACCACAAAACTTTACTTCTTTTTGAGATTTAGTTTTTTTTTTAAATCTTGGCACACAGTATTTTTTAATTTCAGGGGTGGCAATAGTGAAAGGTTTAAACTCAAAAGCCATGATGCTTTATCAGGTTAAGACATATAAACCAAAATGACAGGGTAAAAACAAGAACTTTAAGGGACAATATCTGACATACATGGCCATATGTAATGAGCAATATATCTACATAATGCCCAAATAAATGTTTAAAACATATAAAAGTAAAATGGCAGGTTAAATTTTAAGTGTAAGTGCATACAGTCATCCCTACAAATTTGCTGACTTCTGTACTCATGAATTTCAATTATCCAATGTTTTTAACTGGATCAATATTTTCAATTTCATTGAAGTATCGAACTTTTTTTTTTTTAATCAACAGATTTTCAATGCTCCAAGCTGGTCATTACTTATGAATTTTTTTTTTGTCCATTTCCTACTAAGGCAAGGTGGCCTAAAAAAGAAAAACTTTCATCATCATCATTCACTCCATCACTGTCTTGCCAGAGGTCCAACACTAGTTATAAAACTGCAACATTAACATTTTGATTAGGTCAGGGGTTTCAAATAGAGTTAGAGCTAAAGAAGGAGTAGCAATAATGTTGAAGGATAAGCTATGGCAGGAAAAGAGGGACTACAAATGTATAAATTCAAGGATTATGTGGAGTAAAATAAAGATTGGATGTGAAAAGTGGGTTATAGTAAGCGTGTATGTACCTGGAGAAGAGAGAAGTGTAGAGGAGAGAGAGAGATTCTGGGAAATGTTGAGTGAATGCGTGGGGAGTTTTGAATCAAGTGTGAGAGTAATGGTGGTTGGGGATTTCAATGCTAAAGTGGGTAAAAATGTTATGGAGGGAGTAGTAGGTAAATTTGGGGTGCCAGGGGTAAATGTAAATGGGGAGCCTTTAATTGAGCTATGTGTAGAAAGAAATTTGGTAATAAGTAATACATATTTTATGAAAAAGAGGATAAATAAATATACAAGGTATGACGTAGCACGTAATGAAAGTAGTTTGTTAGATTATGTATTGGTGGATAAAAGGTTGATGGGTAGGCACCAGGATGTACATGTTTATAGAGGGGCAACTGATATATCGGATCATTATTTAGTTGTAGCTACAGTTAGAGTAAGAGGTAGATGGGAAAAGAGGAAGGTGGCAACAACAAGTAAGAGGGAGGTGAAGTGTATAAACTAAGGGAGGAGGAAGTTTCGGGCGAGATATAAGCGACTATTGGCAGAAAGGTGGGCTAGTGCAAAGATGAGTAGTGGGGGGGTTGAAGAGGGTTGGAATAGTTTTAAAAAATGCAGTATTAGAATGTGGGGCAGAAGTTTGTGGTTATAGGAGGGTGGGGGCAGGAGGAAAGAGGAGTGATTGGTGGAATGATGAAGTAAAGGGTGTGATAAAGAGAAAAAGGTAGCTTACGAGAGGTTTTTACAAAGCAGAAGTGTTATAAGAAGAGCAGAGTATATGGAGAGTAAAAGAAAGGTGAAGAGAGTGGTGAGAGAGTGCAAAAGGAGAGCAGATGAAAGAGTGGGAGAGGCACTGTCAAGAAATTTTAATGAAAATAAGAAAAAATTTTTGGAGTGAGTTAAACAAGTTAAGAAAGCCTAGGGAAAGTATGGATTTGTCAGTTAAAAACAGAGTAGGGGAGTTAGTAGATGGGGAGAGGGAGGTATTAGGTAGATGGCGAGAATATTTTGAGGAACTTTTAAATGTTAAGGAAGAAAGGGAGGCGGTAATTTCATGCACTGGCCAGGGAGGTATACCATCTTTTAGGAGTGAAGAAGAGCAGAATGTAAGTGTGGTGGAGGTACGTGAGGCATTACGTAGAATGAAAGGGGGTAAAGCAGCTGGAACTGATGGGATCATGACAGAAATGTTAAAAGCAGGGGGGGGGTATAGTGTTGGAGTGGTTGGTACTTTTGTTTAATAAATGTATGAAAGAGGGGAAGATACCTAGGGATTGGCGGAGAGCATGTATAGTCCCTTTATATAAAGGGAAAGGGGACAAAAGAGATTGTAAAAAATTATAGAGGAATAAGTTTACTGAGTATACCAGGAAAAGTATACGGTTAGGGTTATAATTGAAAGAATTAAGAGGTAAGACAGAATGTAGAATTGCGGACGAGCAAGGAGGCTTCAGAGTGGGTAGGGGATGTGTAGATCAAGTGTTTACATTGAAGCATATATGTGAACAGTATTTAGATAAAGGTAGGGAAGTTTTTATTGCATTTATGGATTTAGAAAAGGCATATGATAGAGTGGATAGAGGAGCAATGTGGCAGTTTGTTGCAAGTATATGGAATAGGTGGTAAGTTACTAAATGCTGTAAAGAGCTTTTATGAGGATAGTGAGGCTCAGGTTAGGGTGTGTAGAAGAGAGGGAGAATACTTCCGGTAAAAGTAGGTCTTAGACAGGGATGTGTAATGTCACCATGGTTGTTTAATATATTTATAGATGGGGTTGTAAAAGAAGTAAATGCTAGGGTGTTCGGGAGAGGGGTGGGATTAAATTATGGGGAATCAAATTCAAAATGGGAATTGACACAGTTACTTTTTGCTGATGATACTGTGCTTATGGGCGATTCTAAAGAAAAATTGCAAAGGTTAGTGGATGAGTTTGAGAATGTGTGTAAAGGTAGAAAGTTGAAAGTGAACATAGAAAAGAGTAAGGTGATGAGGGTATCAAATGATTTAGATAAAGAAAAATTGGATATCAAATTGGGGAGGAGGAGTATGGAAGAAGTGAATGTTTTCAGATACTTGGGAGTTGACGTGTCGGCGGATGGATTTATGAAGGATGAGGTTAATCATAGAATTGATGAGGGAAAAAAGGTGAGTGGTGCGTTGAGGTATATGTGGAGTCAAAAAACGTTATCTATGGAGGCAAAGAAGGGAATGTATGAAAGTATAGTAGTACCAACACTCTTATATGGATGTGAAAACTTGGGTGGTAAATGCAGCAGCGAGGAGACGGTTGGAGGCAGTGGAGATGTCCTGTCTAAGGGCAATGTTTTGGTGTAAATATTATGCAGAAAAAATTGGAGTGTGGAAATTAGGAGAAGGTGTGGAGTTAATAAAAGCATTAGTCAGAGGGCAGAAGAGGGGTTGTTGAGGTGGTTTGGTCATTTAGAGAGAATGGATCAAAGTAGAATGACATGGAAAGCATATAAATCTTTTAGGGGAAGGAAAGAGGGGTAGGGGTCGTCCTCGAAAGGGTTGGAAAGAGGGGGTAAAGGAGGTTTTGTGGGTGAGGGGCTTGGACTTCCAGCAAGCGTGCATGAGCGTGTTAGATAGGAGTGAATGGAGACGAATGATACTTGGGACCTGACGATCTGTTGGAGTGTGAGCAGGGTAATATTTAGTGAAGGGATTCAGGGAAACCGGTTATTTTCATATAGTCGGACTTGAGTCCTGGAAATGGGAAGTACAATGCCTGCACTTTAAAGGAGGGGTTTGGGATATTGGCAGTTTGGAGGGATATGTTGTGTATCTCTATACGTATATGCTTCTAAACTGTTGTATTCTGAGCACCTCTGCAAAAGCAGTGATAATGTGTGAGTGTGGTGAAAGTGTTGAATGATGATGAAAGTATTTTCTTTTTGGGGATTTTCTTTCTTTTTTTTTTTTTGGGTCACCCTGCCTCGGTGGGAGACGACCGACTTGTTGAAAAAAAAAAAAAAAAAAAAATTAACATTCCTCCTTCAGTGTAGGCACTGTACTTCCCATCTCCAGGATACAAGTCCAGCCTGCTGGTTTCCCTGAATCCCTTCACAAATGTTGCCTTGCTCACACTCCAACAGCACTTCAAGCCCTAAAAGCCATTTGTCTACATTGGCCCCTCTCTAACATGCTCACACATGCTTGCTGGAAGTTCAAGCCCTTTGCACACAAAACCTCCATTACCCCCTCCCTCCAACCTTTCTTAGGTTGACACCAACCCCTCCTTCCCTCCACTACAGATTTATACACTCTCGAAGTCATTCTATTTTGTTCCATCCTCTCTACATGTCCGAGCCACCTAAACAACCCCTCCTCAGCCTTCTGGATAATAGTTGTGGTAATCCTGCTCCTCCTCCTAATTTCCAAACTATGAATTCTCTGCATTATATTCACTCCACACATTACCCTCAGACATGACATATACACTGCCTCCAGCCTTCTCCTTGTTGCAACATTCACCACCCATGCTTCACATCCATATAAGAGAGTTGGTATAACTATACACTCATACATTCCCCTCTTTGCTTCCATGGACAAAGTTCGTTGTCTCCACAGACTCCTCAGTGCACTACTAACCTTTTTTCCCTCATCAATTTTATGATTCACCTAATCTTTCATAGACCCATCTGCTGACACATCGACTCCTAAATATCTGAATACATTCACCACCTCCACACTCTCTCCCTCCAATCTGATATCCAATCCTATTTTTTTGTTATCCTCATCATCTTACTCCTTCCTATATTCACTTTTAATTTTCTTCTTTTACATACCCTACCAAACTCATCCACCAACCTCTGCAACTTCTCAAAATCTCCCAAAAGCAGTGTCATCAGCAAAGAGCAACTGTGACAACTCCCACTTTTTATTTGATTCTTCATCTTTAACCCCACACCTCTTGCCAACACCCACCCATTCACTTCTCTTACAACCCCATCAGAGATATGGTCTCAAACCAATTTCTTAAAAAAAATATATGAACCCAATTTTGAAAAAATAAATGTTATGAAGACCTAATTTCGATTTATTCAAAATTTTGAGTTCTACAGGGACCTTTAGGGATATAACCCTCGTGAATTTGTAGGGAAGCCTGTACACCAACAGAAAATTTTATCAAAGTACTATAGCATTAAATACGGACTGCATCTACTGCTTAATTGCCTACAAAGAATACAAAAAATACTATTAACTCACCAAGAACAGCATCTCCCAAGAATTCAAGCCTCTGGTAGCAGTCAGTAAGGCGGTTCTTGTAATATGAAGCATGAGTGAATGCTTGAAGCAAATAAGAACGGTCCCGGAACGTATATCCAATCTTCTCCTCAAATACCATATATCCACTAAGTAACAATTCCAACTGCATGTAAGTATCTGTTACTGAACACTGATGAAGAGGTGACTGAGGTGGCTCCAAGTGACCATATGTGATATGCAGTACATTTTCAGATTCCTCATCTATCTTACATGGTAAGACCTTGATTCCAAGCCAAGACATGAAAAGTAAAGCACCACGGGGACCACAAGTTGTAAGGTAAGCACCTATCAGAGCCTCAACACAGTCTGCAATACTTTTGTCAGGAATACTATGTTGTGTGAGCAAATTGTATGGAATAAAGATAGGTAAATCATGAGGATTCTGTGTGGCCATTAATTCACTGGTTATATGCTCAGTTTTACTGCGTTTTATTTGTTCTGAACGTTCTTGAACTAATCGTCTTATCTCATCACTGGCCAGATCATGAAGTCCTGGTAAGTCAGCCATGTTCCAGTGACCGGCAGGAACTCCTGAATCAATCAATGCTTCTTCTAACTCACGTGGCACAAAATAACCAGGAGGCAGCCAATTGTCATGAGGCTCAAACTTGGTTGCAACCATGCACTCTCCAAGTCCCTTTCGCTTACCTAATCGATATAAATTTAGGTTACTAACTTGCTTGGACCGCAGGTAACTGAGCTTGCCTTCATGACGTTGTGGATAAGTACAGTACAAGAAAGTGGTGATAGCATATTTCAAGAATGAATCTCCTATAGTCTCAAGCCTCTCCAGATTGACTCCATCATTTGCATTAGACATTGTGAGTGCCTGAAGAATTATACTAGGAGGTGGGCCAGGATGGTTTATGAGATCTGGCTGGTAATCAAAACTGAAGAGTGTTTCACCAGAATTGCT